AAAATAAAAAAAAAAAAAAAAAGTCCCACAAAAAATTAAAAAAAAAAAAAAAAAAAAAAAACTCAACCCAAATATAACTACAATCAACACTTAAACACTCCACAACAACAGGAAGAACAACAACAACAACAACAACAATGGGTGCTGCTTATCACATCTTCGGTAAAACCGTTCAACCACATCAATTAGCCATTGCCACATTAGGTTCGGTTGTATTATTAGTCATTCCAAAACCATGGGCCGTTAAACCAACTCACCCTTCAATCAATGCATCATCTCCAGAAGAAGAAAAGTTCGTTAAGGAATGGTTAGCCAAGCACGATAAGACTGAAGAAAAACATTAAGAGAGGGTGAAAGGGTCTAACATGTTATAGAAAAGGAGGAGAGAATTATTTTGGTTTGATAGAGATTTGAAAATTCGTCTTATGGTCAACATCGAAATAAATGAGACAAGATGTTGGAGGAAAGAGATGGAGGCTGTATTGTATATATTTCCACTTTGGATATTCTGTGAAAGAAAAGAAGGAAAAGGAAAGGCTTAAACATATACATTTTAGACTCAAATGAGATTGAAATGAACAAAATGTCAATTATTTGTGATCGGGATCAGACAATGTCTTTTCACGCTTGACTCAACTGTAGAGGCGTTCATCTCTCGTAGCAACGTCTTACTTCCTTTGAACGTGAACTCTCTTTGTGTCTAAGAAAGCAATTGACAAGAGGAGATTCGCAATACTTAGTCTATAACACTCCACCATATCCGGTGTTGGCTGAAACCTCACACTGCATGTTACCTACCGACGGGTTTGTCGTCCTCTTCAAATCCACCTCCATCACTCTGTCTCTTCTTCTTCTTCTTCTTCTTCTTCTTCACTGATTACATTTTGTGGCATCATTTGCATCTCATCGAGAGAGAAAGAAAAAAAAAATGTACGAAACAAAACTCTACATCAACAACAGCACCCCAATCCTTCTTTCACCACTCATCCCCATCATGTCTTCAATCTACAAAGCATTACAATCCAAGTCCTCAAAAGACACTCTGGACAAAACCAAACACATCAACAGACAACGATTACTAGTCATATCCTCACGAGGCATCACCTACAGACACCGTCATCTCATAAGTGATTTATTGACCCTTTTGCCCCATGCTCGAAAAGAACCCAAGTTCGATACCAAGAAGAACCTTTACTTGTTGAATGAAGTTGCCGAGTTATACAACTGCAACAATATCTTTTTCTTTGAGTGTAGAAAACACCAGGATTTATATCTTTGGATCTCCAAACCGCCAAATGGTCCCACTGTCAAATTCCACATTCAGAATTTGCACACTTTGGATGAATTAAACTTCATCGGTAATTGCCTTAAGGGGTCTAGACCGATTTTAAGTTTTGACAAACTGTTTGATACCACTGGTGACCATTTCAAATTGTTGAAGGAAATGTTTATACACACATTTGGAGTGCCTCCAAATGCCAGAAAACTGAAACCTTTTATCGATCACGTCATGACTTTTTCCATCGTCGATGGAAAGATTTGGATAAGGAATTACCAGATTAACGAAACTTTGGAAACGAAGGAGAATGAGGATGGGAATGAAGTCGATGTCGATTCGTTGAATTTGGTTGAAATTGGCCCTAGATTGGTTTTGACCTTGATTACTATCTTGGAGGGTTCATTTGGTGGACCCAAGATTTATGAAAATAAGGAGTACGTGTCGCCTAATTTCGTTAGAGCTCAATTGAAACAACAATCGGCTCAACAAGCTAGAAGTAGGGCTGAAGCTGCTTTGGAGAGGAAGATTAAAAAGAGAAGTCAAGTTTTGGAGAAGGATCCATTGTCCAATGATGCATTGTTTAAAGAGTAGATAGCAAGTCGGTCTATAGTTCATTACAACTTTATTTTCCCATATGTCATACAACATTCTTCTCTATTCATTTATAATTCTTGTGTGTTCTTCAACTATTGTGTCGTGTCATCATCAGGTGGACTCCCAAACTCACCTTCAAAAATCGTAGCTCCACATTTCCTCCTATTTTCGATAAAAACGCACTCATCCATTTCCAAAATAGAACTAGCACTGGGTCTCTCAAAAGGATTAGGTTTCAACATCTTATTCACCAACACATCCAACGCATTGGAGTCCCCAACAAGAAAAGGCGGGGCCCAAGAAGGTATCAAACCATACACGGAATCAACAGTGTTATCATCCTCGAGACCGTGTTGCTCATGTTGGTGTTGCTGCTGCTGCTGCTGCTGCTGCTGCTGTTGTTGTTGTTGTTGTTGTTGTTGGCGATGTTCCAAATTTGACCTAGATCTGAAATGCGAGTTCAACGATAATGAATGAGCAGAGGAACTAAAGTTTGTATTTGACGAACTGCTAGTCTCTGGTTTATGCTGCAAAAACATGGAAATATTATCACTCGACAATTGTCCAGCATCACTCAAATCTCCACTACGTAATTTGCGCCATGGTGTTCCATTATCCGGCAAGATTATATTTGCAGCAATTTCCAAAATGATCAAACCAAGGCTGAAAATATCTGCAAACGGTGTGTATATCTTATCATCAATCAATTCAGGAGCAATATAATTTCGGTCCCCTTCTGAATCAAAATCTTTTTCCAATATGGGTAACTTTGTCGCCAACCCGAAATCACCAATTTTCAAATATCCTTCAAAAGTGATGAAAATGTTTGCCGGTTTCAAATCAAGATGAACATAATCCTTCAGATGGATAAAACGTAACCCATTCGCCAATTCAATAATCATTTTCCATATCCTGTACTCATCAATCTTGTAGTGCTTATTATCCTCTAAAAAATCATACAATGTACCACCCTCACAATACTCCGTCATTATGTAATAATAATTGTTGAAATCCCAAGCTTCAATAAAGTACACCAAATTCTCCTTACCTTGTTGCTCTTCCTTCAAGTTCTCCTCATCATCATCTTTGATACTTGAAAGTGTTCTCAATGCATCGATCTCTCTCATTATCGTTTGTTTGTCCAATTTTCCAGTTACTGGCTTTTTCGTCCTCTTTATGGCAAATTTCTCCTCATTGAAAACACATTCAAAAGCTATACTAAACTCACCTTGTCCAATGTACTTTAGATTCTTCATGCCAAACTTGCTAATCAAGTGTTCATCGATTTTGGAAGGGTATGAGTATGAAAAATGGTGAGGATTGCTGAATTGCAACTGGTCGTTCTCATTCAATGGAGGTAGCTCCACTGGGCCATCCTTCAATACAGAGTCCTTGTCTGCAAAGTCAAATCCCCAATGTATCGGTGTAGATGGAGTGCCATACTTGTAACCCTTTGAACCATAATTCAATTGTAGCTTATCGAGTCGACCGAGTTTTGTTGATGGAGAACGTTTAAGGTGTGTCGTAGGCAGTAAAGCTGCTGCCACCCGCGAAGTTGGCGCTGGCATGTCCACTGGCTCCACCGACGGAGGAACTGATGCTGCCGCTACTCCTGCTGTTGATGTTGTTGATGATGTCGTCGTCACTGCTGTTGTTGTTGCTTGTTGATACAGCGGGGCAAAATGCTTCTTTGTTGGTGTTTCTGGCACCATTACTCCTTCTTCCTCTTCGTCTTCATCCAACTCTATATCTGAAGTAAAGATCACCTCCAAATCTTGGTAATGAGGAGTGATGTTCTTGTTTGACCTCGCTAGAGACGGCTTGAATTTTGAATGTGACAGATGAATATCACTCAAGTTCAATGAGTGCTCACCACTACCACCATTGTCGCGTCCTATTTCGATTGGTTTATTGCGTTCATCTTGCTCGCTTATATGTGATAGGTTACCACTATCATAATCAAACTTTAAATTAAGCGGTTTATTGGTATTGATCATCGTCAATGGGTTTCTCTTCATGGGGGTTTCAGGAGGTGGCTTTGTCGTCGTATGCTGAACCATGTTCTTCTTCATTAATCCATTTGAAGAAAATGCAATTTGCAATGGCTTGACGAATCGAAACAGATCACTGTTTTCTTTGTCATTGAATGTGGTGGTGTTTCTCTTGTTTGTCAACTTGGGACTTCCCTGATACTTGATATTTGAAGCTTGTGAGTGCGAATTGGATGGTTTCCTGTTTTTGGATGGACTTTCTAAAGCGTCATTATCAAAATCAGTGGCACAGGCTCCGTGTTGTAGATTCTTCCTCGATGAGTGCGTGATTGGTGGGGGTGCATTGGGCTTGCGGAGTTTATGAGCTTGACCAAAGAAATGCGTTTTGGAAAGTGGACTTTCTACATTTCGGTTTCGAATTGGAGATATTGTGCTCTCATCAAGTTTGCTGGCATAGCTCTTGAAGTGCTTTATTCCAAGTTGAGATGGCGATTGCAAATTCGATTGTGGTGATGACGATGATAACGTCGATTTTACTTTTGTTGAAGAAGGTGAAGGTGATTGACTAATGAATTTGTGAGGCCGTTTAAACAGATGATTCGTAGAAGGTCGTAGCAGACCATCGGTTTTGCGTGATGTGGATAATGCAGGAGATGACTGATTGTTGACTTTGACATCAATTTCACTCAAACTTATCTTATCAATTTCGTCCGGCGTATTTGCCCTGTCTAAGGTTCGTAGACTAGAATCAATTGATAAGTTGATGTATTTTGAAGACCGCTTGATGGAACTTTGTGAATTCCGTGCACTCGAGTTGGAGGGGTCACATCCTTGGGATGGTCTCCTAAATTGTTGATTTAGTGTTGTAGTTGGGCTTGGCTGTAGGAGGTCATTAGAGTTCTTCTCGGGAGTAATTTTGAGAGCATCCTGTTTGTCATGAACTTCAAATCTGTCCTCAACTTCACTAATAAAGTCATCGTTTTCTCCCTCTTCTTCCTCCTCTTCTTCCTCCTCTTCATCAATATCTGTTTCGTTGCATACTTCGTCATGATCAAGAAACGTATCTATGCTATCATTGAAATAGTCTGTCTTGACGTTGAAAGGTGGTGACTTGTTTATTGTCTTTTTCAAAAATATCTTGTCAGCAGCGGTGGTAGCATTGGTGGAATTGTTGTCATCCAAAATCAAGCTATTGAAGGATCTTGAAAAGTGGTCGTTAGTATAGTAATCCAATTGATGTTGTTGTGGATGTGGTGTTTGCTGAGACTGGGAAATGGATGTTGAGTATCTGTGAAGTCGCTGCGTCGGTGCAGTCATCAGTTGTCGACTTTTGTATGAAGTTGCATGGAGAGTGGATACTGGATCCAAGAAGGTATCATTGTAGTCTGTGCTGTCGTCGTTGTTGTTGTTATTGTTGTTGTTGTTGTTGTTGTTGTTGTTGTTGTTGTTGTTGTTGTTGTTGTTGTTGTTGTTGTTGTTGCTGTTGAGAGCATAAGCATCATCATTAGCAGTTATGTGAGGAGGGTTGTTGCCACCTTTCGTCCTTTGCAACAGAAATTGGTTGTTTTTCATGATGGATGCAATGGCAGGGCAAAATTGAGTGGAGGGAGAAAGGGGTGAAGAAGTGCGTGGGTGGGTGGTGTTACTGATACCTCCCACTGGCTCTCCTCTTGTGATAGTGTAGCTCTGTGTGTACCTCTGTGGTGTTTTCTTTGTCTTTGAAAGTAAGGCTGTTTAAATCTGTATATGATAAAAAATAAGTAAGAAGATGTGTTGTGTATTGTTGTTGTTGTTGTACAGTGTGGTATTGTTTTGTTTACACTTTTTTTTTTTGTTGTTGTTTACAATTTAGCAGAGGGGACTGTAGACTGTGTAGACTATAGACTGTAGATAGAGAAGTATGTTCACTTCGTCTTCATTCAAACGAAGCGTGTTGATAGATACTGAGTAATGGAGCTATCACTCCTTCACTCCGGCTACAACAGCAGATATGGTCAAAGTACCGAATGACATAATCTCCTCCTCTTGTTCAGAAACTTTTACATACAAAAACCAGACAAGGTAAAGACGTGATGCTTGTCCTGAAGTGACAACGTGCGTTATCAGAGTCGAGCCGCTTATATCCTGCCTATTTTCCTATCCTTCCTCTCTGATCACTACTGGCCATTTGTCTGTCATCGAAAGGGGGTAGGGACTCGTCAGTATAGTTGACAATTTTGTATAACAACAGACGCGTCTTTGAGACATTACACAAAAAACACGTCTTTGTCACGTGCTACACTTTCATGCAGTACTAATTTTCTTTCCACGGGCTCGTAGTATGACGCGAAAATGTGACCAGAGAGTGTGTATTGACAGTATTGTTTTGGTAGTTTCAAAACTTGGATCATAAAACATATCACCCATGGATTGTCAATCGTAAGTGTCATTTTCTATAGAGTATGCAACAATTTTTCTTCTCCTCTTTTATTTTGCATCAAAATTGTGGCTAATTTACTCTTCATGTAACCTGTACTGCTATTTATGAATCTTTACAAGGTAGACTCTATAAGATTGAAAAAGAGTTGTTGTCCATTCTGTAAACCCTTCAACGTATCAATATGCGATAACACAGCTCTACAAGGTGTTTCTTGCACATTGAATTATTTTTGCAACGCACCAGTGTAGTAATGATGACTGATTGATCTGATAAAACGAGTAATTGTTTGCACTTCAGGTGCAGGAAAGTAGAGTGTAGACTTCCAAATATAGTAATATATGGGTATTACTTCACTTGCATTAATATATATTTTTTTTCCAGTGCTCTCTTTATTGCAAGAGATACATTATTAATTGCTTAGATTTGATTGGCGGAAACTCAAGCTATCTATTTGATCAAGCGAGAAAACGAAAACAAAAACTGAAAACTTTATTTTCACTTAACAGATTCGTAAGTAATACTGGATTTGGATATAGCTTTAAAGAAGGAGGAGCGACAAAGGACGCACAAGGATTCGAGATTCTCTCTACACTCTTTTTGCATATACCTATCTACAGGTGGTAGTTTGCAATTTAGTAGGCACTTATTGCTCTTGAGCTAGAAGTGCACGTTGTGTGCATGTGTGTATGTGTGTTTGTGTGTGTAATACTATATAATTTGTGTGAGGCGACTATATATAGTAACCGAGAGCCACATCTTTATTTAATTACTAAGAGACTCAAACTGAAATTTTCATACAATAGTCGCAGATTCCTCTCGAAATCACCAACGTATTCGAAAGCATTTCCAAGATAAAAGTGCCTTTTCCTTCTATTCTTTTGCCCAACTACGACAGCAACATCAGGCAAAGTTTGAAATCGAGGATCAAAAGAGTCTTCGTTATTTATTGATTTTTTTTTTTTTTCACCACCCAATAGACAAATCACACCACTCGTCACCTGTACCCACACGAGCACCAACTTGCCCAATACTAGTTACATCAGACCGGAAAACATCACAGCCACCACTTTCGAACTACCGGAACGTTTACCCTACAGCACTCTTTTGCTGATCAAACCTACTTCTGTTCAAAGAGTTTGTATCGAATTTGACTTTAGGAAAATATTAAGGTTTTGAGCTTAAGAAGTTGAAACAACCTTATTGTTCGGAGCCAAAACGTAATCCTATTGACAGAGGTTGCAGAAGTCTATTTCAAGGATTTAACAAAAAAACAATCGGCCGAAACCATTTGGAGGCATCACACACCACTATAATCTCGATTCAAACATTTATCAATTACAAATTACGCCTCCTGAGATCATAAGCAAGATTGCAGCATCCCACATATATGCAAATTTATCTACGCTCCAAACCATTCATGATTCCAATATAAAAATCAAACATACGTATTCACATTTCAAAAATAATGTCCGTACAAGAAAAATCTATAAAAGAAGCATCTACACAGCTACCGATACATTCCAACGACACCAAAATTTCCACACCCACAACAAAGACGTATTTGCTGTCATGCACAAAGCTGGTAACATCAACAACATCCTCAGAAACCTCGTCCCCGCCTGCATTGTCATCACCTAACCTGCATAACCAACTACCGACCCCAGAAGAAGGCCAACAATGCTCGAATTGTGGAACTACCAAAACCCCACTTTGGCGCCGAGCTCCCGATGGAACGTTAATCTGCAACGCTTGCGGACTCTATCTTCGATCCAATCATACACATCGCCCTGTAAACCTCAAACGACCACCAAATACAATCACCATATCAAGAGAAGAGTTGGGGTCGTGTAAAGGTGATGGACGTTGTAATGGTACTGGTGGAGCGGCTGCTTGTCGTGGCTGCCCAGCGTTTAATAATAGAATAGTTGCGAAAAAGCTGTTGTTGACGGAAAAGTCGGCATCGAAAAATGAGAACGAGGCATCAACTAAAATAAAACGCGATATCCCCGCAAGTGGGGAGAGTGGTGATGGGGTCGATCAAACTAAGTTCAAGATTAAAGCAGAGGCTGAAGATAAAGAAAGTAGTAATGGCGGTAGCCAACAACAGTCAGGAGGTGTCGCATCCTCCACAACTGGCGCAGATGAGAATTCATTGGCCATTGCGTGTTTTAACTGTGATACTACAATAACACCATTATGGAGACGAGACGATGTTGGAAATACAATTTGCAACGCATGTGGGTTATTTTATAGATTACACGGATCACATCGACCAATAAAGATGAAACGGTCAACCATTAAACGAAGGAAGAGAAACGTGTCTGATCATAAATCGAAAGATGATACAAAAGAGGGTAAACTGTCTGCAACCTCACCAGGGTCAAATACTACGTCACCAAGACCAGGTTCTTCTACACCGAAGCCAATTTCAAACCAATCAACACAATCTCAAAAACAGCAACATCAACAACAGATTCATCAACCGCACAACACATTGTCACAACCACTGACCACTCTGCAGCAGTCGCACCTTGTATCAGCACCCACTGTTTTGCCACCACTTGTTAATAGATCAAGTCCTCCATCGTACAATAGGATCCCGCCATTTTCATATTCAATTCCATTTCAGAGAGCTCCTCAATTCGGACAGGCCAGACAAAGTTCAAGTCCGACTCCACCATCACTCCACCAACAGCAACAGCAGCAGCAACAGACTCCACCAGTCGCGACAACGACAAGTCTGCACGTACATGTGATGTCGCGTTCATTGTATCCTAGATACAGCGGGAATGGCCGATTGCCCAATGGGCCCGGCCCACTTCCTGGTCCACCGCCGCCAATGCCGTTTCTTCATGTTCATCCACCCCATCAAATGCAACCAATTCCAAGTCAAGTACACCAGCAGCACCAGCAGCAGCAGCAGCAGCAGCAAGGACAACTACAACTGCATTCACCGGAGTCTAAATACGAGCATCACCAATCTCAGCTAAAATTTGAACAAGTAGCACCGCCCACACTACCACCAATAAACAGCGCACCATCTACTACTAGTACTTCCACTGGTGGGTGTTGCACAAACTGTGGATCGTCAAAGAAAACCCCAACGCCCATGGCCATTGATTTCACTGCAACTTATAGAAAAGAAACTAGTGCTCCGCCTTCAGTTGCTACAGTCGCAACCAGTCCACACAACGACAGTGAAGGAGGAGAGGCGCGAGACTCGGGTGCTAGGGGTACTGCTACTTTTCCATCATCACCACTGAAGAACGGGGGAACTACAGAAAGGACTGGCCAACAAAAGAGAGCATTGACAATTGGTGGTCTTTTGAATGGATGAGAGAGTAGAAAACACATGGAAAAGTAGACGAGATACCTCCTTTGAGTTTTCTATTGTATATACAGTCCAATACGTACCCATACTTATTTATTTATTGAGAAATCGGTTACCTTTCTGTTGGAAGTGTCTTTAACTTGAAAGATCAATGTCGTGAATCTATTCTCAATTCCGTAGCTTACACGACACTGCGAAATAAAAGAAAAAAAAAATTGTCCGATGAGCTTCACTCAATTTCATCTCTTTGCACAAAAAAGAACCAAAAGGAATCCTCATCGACAGTATTACATCCATTCAACATCCTTTTCAGTTTTTCCACAATGGGACCAGACAAGAAGAGAAAACAAGAAGAAGTAGAAGGAGGAGCGGGGCACGAGCACGGTGAGATGCTGGAGAGGAAAAGATTGAAGATGGAGAGGAAACAGGCCAAGAAGTTAGCCAAGAAGGAAAAGAAGTTGGCTAGGAAGGAAGAAAAAGAAAAGAAGGCGCAAGAGTTGAGTGAGAAGAAGAAGAAGGAGAAGAATAAGGACAAGTATAATAATAAAAAGAAGAAGGGTAGCAGTAGCAGCGCCAACAGTAGCAGCAGCAGTAAGAACATGAAAGAGGATTTTCCCGCAGCTGTTACAAAGGATGAGGTTTCTGCGCCATCATCCAGCAGCATTAGCTCTTCCGGCTACACACAATCATTCAAATTGACAAACACTCCACAGCAAGCAATTGATGAGTTTTTATCAGCCAATGAAGTCACAATTGAGGACCCACAGCATCTCAACTATAAACCAATTCTTTCATTTGATCAAATTGAATTGGACGCATCCATTGCTTCGAAATTGCAAAAATTTGCCAAGCCTACCCCTATTCAATCGATATCATGGCCATTCCTTCTTGATGGTAAAGATGTGATTGGTGTTGCTGAAACTGGATCAGGAAAGACATTTGCATTTGGTGTGCCTGCCATTAACAACATCATCACTAATGGCTCTACTGACCTGCTTAGTGTCTTGTGTATTTCCCCCACTCGTGAATTGGCATTACAGATTTATGACAATTTGCAAGAATTGACTATTGACACTCCGATTTCATGTGTTGCCATATACGGGGGTGTTTCCAAAGATGACCAGGTGCGTAAAATTAGACTGGGTGCCAATGTGATTGTAGCTACACCTGGTCGATTGGTTGATTTGATCAATGATGGAGCAGTGGATTTGAGTCTGATCAATTACTTGGTCTTGGATGAAGCTGATCGTATGTTGGAAAAGGGGTTTGAGGAAGATATCAAGCATATCATTGGATCCACTAATGCTCGAGACAGACAGACGTTGATGTTTACGGCCACGTGGCCCAAGGAAGTTCGTGAATTGGCCAACAATTTCATGCGCAGTCCTATCAAGTTGACAATTGGAGACCGTGATGAGTTGAGTGCTAATAAGCGAATCACCCAAGTTGTTGAGGTTTTGGATGACAAGTTTCAAAAGGAACTGAAACTCATATCATTGTTGAACAAGTACCAACATGGACCACAGGGTCAAGGCAACAATAAGATTTTGGTGTTTGCATTGTATAAGAAGGAAGCATCAAGAATTGAGTCGTTGTTGCGTCGTAATAAGTTCAAAGTGGCGGCCATTCACGGTGATTTGTCACAACAACAACGTACGCAAGCTCTCAATTCATTCAAACTGGGCGAGTGCAACTTGTTGTTAGCTACCGATGTTGCTGCTAGAGGATTGGATATCCCCAATGTCAAGTATGTCATCAATTTGACATTCCCATTGACGATTGAGGATTATGTTCACAGAATAGGAAGGACCGGGAGAGCAGGACAAACTGGTGTTGCACATACCTTGTTTACTGAGGATGAAAAACATCTTAGTGGAGCGTTGTGTAATATATTGAGGGGTGCTAATCAGCCTGTACCGGAACAATTGTTGAAGTTTGGTGGACATACTAAAAAGAAGGCCCATTCGGTGTATGGTGCGTTTTACAAGGATGTTGATATGACCAAGACAGCAAAGAAGATTAAATTCGATTAGAGAGAAGGAGGATGACCGGTGGTGGTGTTGTACATATGTATATTCATAGATAAGTTTACAGTGTTGTGGTTGCAAAAAATACATGGAAAAAGTAGGAAAAGGTGTCTTGATGATGAGTCAACGTAGACACGTGTTAACTAAAGAAAATAAGAGAGATTGATTGTCACTGGAATGTGTACACTGTTTGCAGTTTCAAACAAGCTTCTGTCTTTTGCATTACGTGTTCAAAACTTAACATGGGCGACGAGGCGGCTATCTGTTTCCGTGCCGCACTGGGTGTTAAAATGCGTTAGAAACTGGGACAATGACAAATTGGGGAGATTCAAAACATTTCGGCCGATAGAAAGACTTACACTGAAACTGGGCAACGGAAGAAAAGAAATTCAAATCTACGGAATTACGTAATCAGTTGCCATCATCATCATCATCAGTCGATAAAAAATAATTTAGTATGTGATTTTATATGTAGGATGAGATAAATAATTAAACTGCTGTCAAATTTACAACATACGCATATGGTGCATCCATCCTTTGCTTTGGTATTACGTGTTCATAAACAAACTTTCGACAATTGATCTATGCATATATATATGTTACTTTACTTACTCTATTACTTGTACAGATAGAGAAATAATACTTTCTAAAAGAAAAAAAGAAGAATCCATACTGAAACGATCTCAACTAAACAGACAGACAGACAGACAGACAGACAAAAAAAAAAAGTAACAGAAGAATAAAAAGAAATTTCCATTCAATTCTAATCGAAATATCGAAATTTCAACCAATCAGCCAAACTAAACTAACTCAACAAACTCAAAGCAAAAGATACACCAAACGTCACAACCAGATCCAAACATACCTACAGCACCCACTTCGCTATCTGCTTTACTCAACAACAACAACAACAACAACAACAACAAATCATTACTAAAGATCAAGTTCTATTTTATTTTTTCTTTCATAGATCCGTTCCTTATTCCATTGAGTTTATCTTCACCATGCATCTACATCATTGGTTTATCCTACTAGTCAGCCTCGTAACAACCACAATATCAGCATCAGCTTCCAAATCTGCCTCACACCTGAACCCACATATACTTCCCAAAGCTCAATTTCATGCATTTGACTCACCTGAATTTTGTTCCCAAATCATTACATCCTCATGTAACACGACTTTTGCCTACCTTGACGAACTCAACAACCAAATCAGATCACTGGTCACTGAACTAGTCAAGACCCCTTATTTCAGGTATTTCAAAGTTGATTTGGACAAGCAGTGTAAATTTTGGAATGCTCAGCATTTTTGCGCAACTGAAAATTGTGCTGTTGAAGTGATTGATGACTTCAACTGGAGTCGAGTGACTAATGAAAATTTGAAACCTTCAAAATTGGGCAAAATCAAGCTAGCCCAAGCATCTGCAGGAGGTGAACAGGAAACCGATTCGAGCTCTATCGACAACACAATCGAAACTGAACCCATCGAGCAATGCGAGGATTTGGACTACTCGTATTTCGACGATGAACACGAACACAACTGCGTTTATGTCAATTTATTACAAAATCCAGAACGATTCACTGGTTATGGAGGAAATCAAAGTTTCGATGTTTGGAAAGCCATTTATCTGGAAAACTGTTTCCCCAACACGAATCCAATGTCGATGAAACCAAATGAACCAAAGGAGAAATGTGTTGAAAAGAACTTGTTCTATCGTTTAGTGAGTGGGATGCATGCATCCATTGCTGTTCATTTATCCAATGAGTACTTGGATTCCGAAACTGGTCAGTTCTACCCCAATTTACAAGTATTTATGCAAAGAGTTGGGCTTTTCAATGACAGATTGGCTAACATTTACTTCAACTATGCACTTGTTGCTCAATCCTTGGTGAAATTGGAACTGATTTTGCCATTGAGACAATTTATCCAACTGGGATACGACGACATCACACCAACTCAAAAACAGCACTTGTTGGAAAATAATGACTTGTTTGAAAATACTGAGGTGTATGACGAATTGTTGTTGCAGGATATTATACCTGCTTTGGGGTCAAACACATTGTTCAACACGTCCACTTTGTTTGATCCTTCTAAAGACCCCAATTTGAAGAATGAGTTTAGAAGTAGGTTCAAAAACATTTCTGCAATTATGGATTGTGTTGGATGTGATAGGTGTAGAATGTGGGGCAAGATACAAACAATTGGGTATGGAACAGCTATGAAGATCTTGTTTGAAGACCACGATGATGTGGCGAATGTCAACAACATAAATGGCAAACCAAGTTTGAAATTCAGAAGAATTGAAATTGTTGCATTGATCAACACTTTTGATCGGTTATCGAAATCCATTGCCGTAATCAACAATTTCAAGCAAATGTATATCCAACATTTACAGGATGTTGCTGAAGGTAAAGCACAACCGGGTCAATTCAATTCTAATCAGGAGGGTTCATTAGGACAAGGATTCCATTTCCCATTCGTCAATCAACTTCCAAAACAAGTACAACAGAAATCAAGTCAAAGTGAAAGTCAGAACCAACAGCAACAACAACAACAAACAGCAGCAGCAACAGCATCTTCATTGCATCACAAGTCGTCCTCTTCCCAACAAGACCAAAGGAAATCGATATTTGAAACTTACCAAATCCCAACCAAGAACCGTACACTCAATCAAGAATTGAAGTTGGCATTTTTGGAGGTTTGGGAAGCTTTGAAGTTCGTCTTAGGAAGCTACAAACAGTTCCCCTTGATTGTTGGTAGGATATCGTTGAGTGCTTTGAATGATTGGTGGAATGACTTAATTGGAAAACCATCGTCATCGCATTACGAAGAGTATAGAAGTCCTTTGAATGTTGGGAATTAGTATAATCGTGGAGAAAGAGCAATAGACATGGCAGCTAGAGTATTTGAGCTCGATCTGGGCGGAGCTTCTCAAGGACAATTTTGTATGCATATAACCAACTTGTGTTTTAATGTAATTTGCAAATGTATCAGCTCGTAATTGTGTCGTAGAGGGTAATGGAGGTGGAAGGAAGGAATTTGCTATGTCATGGGAGTGCCAGTGACGTCAAGGTCCCAGAGGTCGCAGACTTCCTTCTTTGACTACATCTATCTATCTATCTATCTATTTAGAGTTCTGTTGAATCAATTTGCTGTTCTTTACCAGGTCAGGTGACACACAGTTTTGTATATCATTGGACCCTAACTTTGAGTTTAGTTTGGTATGCTTAACCCGTTTGGCGCTAACTTATAAGACACAATCGCAATCACCCACCTAATGTTGTGCTAATGTATTCAAAAATTATACGCCATCCACCTATATAAAACACTTTGCATCACCGTATTCAACCAAGACATTCCCACCAACAACATAAGCATCGTATCGTTTTTCACCTAAACCCCACTGTCCCCTCACTTTGGCATACCCCTTAATCGCAGCATACAATTCAAATATAAAATCGCCCTCCCCCCCCTCTTCGTCATTTTATCAATATGAATACATGCATATATGGTATTTCACCATATACATGATGGTTATAATGCACATATCACTCAATACTCGTACATTGGGTTCATTAATTACATTTGCATTCAATAGGAATAAGGAGCAGTTACGACAAGATCAACAAGATCAACAAATGCAAGAGAAGGAGCAAGAACAAGGGACTATCATGCATCAATATCATCATTTAGAAGGTTCCTTTCGAAAAGTGTCAACTTTGTTGAATAAGTTTCAATCCAGCTTTATCCAAGAGGAATTAATCAGTCCTTCCAACAATGAAGAAACTCATGACCATTCTTCTATATCCACTATTGATACTTCCCAATCCATGTCGTCACTTCAAATAATTTCAATATCATCAATCACAAAATTAAGACCACAGCATCTCCTGAACTCCAACTTTGTCTACAAATTGCGACAAGATAAAGGAGTAATCATCCACACATCAAAGCTAAACCTACCCCAAACACACCCATCACCATCATTGCACCAACACCTGAATGAAAAACGCGACATAAGTAACAATTGGCTCCTCGTCCAATCCCCCTACCCACCGCAAACCAACCAAGTCCACTTCCCCATCTCTAAATGCCTCAACCAACAATTCGGCGACGGCGGCAGCATCGACGTGCAGTCAACAATCTACGCCTCCTTCATCCACACCTTGGACTTGACATTGGGGTTGAATATCTTGTTTGCCAGTGAATCATTTACGGTGCGGCTTGAATTGACCAAGGCGATTACGTGGCGGAACTTGTACACTTGCACCGTGCCTGATGGAATGATTGGTCAGGTGTGGGCTAGATCCGATGTGGTTGAGTTTGAAAGTGTGAGGTTGAGCTTTGTGGAGTTTGAGAGGGGTGAAAGTGGAGAGGACGAGGAAGATGGAATGGAGAAAGTATTTGAAGAAGAAGAAGAAGAAGCGGATGAAGGATACGACGGATATGACGGTGGCGATGATGATTTCGAAGGGGAGATTTTGCGTAAGAGGTCCAAGTTGAGATTGGGATTGAGGCATAAGAGTAGAGGTAACAAGAGGAAAAGTAAAACAAAAGGCAAGTTAAACAACAAGCAACATAGGATCAAGTTGAGGTTATGGCGAAAATTGCAAAAAGTCAAAATGTTCAATGGTGGCGGTGGCGGCGGCAGAAATGGGTTACAACAACGACCTATAATTTCATGTGTTACCGATGTACGGTTATTGGATTGTTCAGGCAAGAGAACTAGAGATTTGCAGAATTTAGAAGTAATTTGAGAGTTTTTATTTTTTTTTAGAGATGGAGGAAGTAGTTTATAGTTTTTTTCAAAAGTTATTAATAAGTTAAACTACACCAGTATTCTAATTATGTATTCATTTACTCTTCAAGAAATCATCAACGTTGAAATCCTCGTCATATTCGGGGTATCCTGCCAATTGTGGGGTTGATATTTGTGGTAATTGTGATTGTGATTGTGATTGTGATTGTGGTTGTTGTGGCTGTTGTGGTTGTGGTTGCGGTAGAGGTTGCTGCTGCTGCTGCTGTTGTTGTTGTTGTTGTTGCGAAAGTTTCTCAATCCAGTCTTGTACTTGGTCAATCGACTGATCCGAGCTCCGTATTTGACTCTCAAGTTGGTCAATGTCTGGTCCATTGTACGGAATACCACTGCCATTGTCAATCTCTCCTCCTCCATTCATGAAATCATTAGGTAATACACGATGATGACTTGATTTACGCCTCTTGACCGACTCAATTGACGGCGAAGAGTAGGACTTGGTTGTATTAGGGCGGTTCGTAAGCAACAACCGCGGCCTTCTGACAAACTGCTCTGCTGTTGTATCCTGTGACCCGCGGTTGTCTGAGGACACAGATGATGGTGATTGGTAAGTGGGGTTCTGTCCATCCTCTTGTTGACGACGACGACGATATGGGACATCAGAAAATTGCACATTTTCGCCTGCTGGAGTTTGCGCTTGGATTGTGGAGTCGTTGTATATAGCAGCAAGGAACTTGAGAATCTTGTTTATAGTTCGACCTTGTTGTTGCGTTCTTTCCCGGTTGATATAGTTTGCATTGTACATGTTTTCATTATCTTGGCGAATACGCAATATCTCTTCGTTCAATCTTGCTTGGTTCTTTTTGATTTGGCTCAATTCTGACAAAATCAAACTCAAGTCTCCGTTTGCCATATTGTGCGTGTCTGTCAACTGTTGTGATGCTTCTTCCAGGGGCACAGACTTGTTTCTAACAATATTATCTAGCAAATCTTCTCTTCCTCGTATGAAATTTGGGTTTTCAAATTGCCAAACTTCATCGCCTCCGCTCTTGTCACCATTTGGGTATAATGTTCCATTAGTTATATCCTGAACCTTGTGGAAACCATACATATTCAACTGCCTGACAAAACTGGACATATTCTGATGCTTAAAGTAAGCAGGTAGAATCTTGTGCACGAAATCTTCACGTTTAAATACCTGGAAAGTCTTTCCATCATCGTTCCATCGAATATATTCGTCATTGGATTTGTCATTCACCATAGACCAAATCTTCATCACGAACGCAGGTCTTGTCTTTGCTCCGCCACTCTCCTTTCTCTTCTTTGCAGGTGGCTGAGGTTGAGGTTGTGATTGTGGATGTGGTTGAGGTTGCGGTTGCGGTTGTGGATGTGGTTGTGGTTGCGTTTTCAAATCTGAAAATAACGGATCTCCCAAGTCAAACTTAAACGGACTGGTTACAGGCAAAGTCAAAGGTTTGAGTTCAGGAAATGTCATGTCTTCAAAGTCAACATGGTTCTTGTTGAATAGTTGCAAGTCATGACCCGTTTGTTCGGCATCTTGAGCAATCTTGTCCTCAGAGGGCTCTTCAGTCACATACAAGGGACTTGGAGCTGTTGATGGTGGGAACCTACGCTGTGGCGACGGTTGGAATAGGTCAAGCTGGTGGTCAAATTGTGATTGCATTTGCAAGTTTCGTGGCAGCTGCTGTTGTTTCGGTGCTTGTGTTGGTGAGTTTTTCAACTCTTCAATCTTGGCTGGTGTGTCATCAAAGTCGTACAACAGCTGATGGCTCAACAACGGAGTGAGACTTTGTGGAATATCTGCGTATTGTGGCAGTTGTGGCTGCTGTTGATCCTGTGGAAATAACGGATGGTTGGCCATACTGTTAATGTTCATCATGATGGAGTGTCTAGATCGGTAACTAATTTTTTTTTTTTTTGGTTGTCTGCGCAAAGTGCGTGGTGACTCTGTGAATGTGTGTGTGTGTGTGTGTCGTGTAAGGCGGATAAGTGACACCGGTAACTAGCAAATATTGGGACAGAAATTGAGACAGTTGATTAAATGAGATTCAGCGCAAAGTAGACTTTGTCCTTGACTGAAAAAAAAAGTAGTTACAACTTGATCGTATGGATTGTTTGATAAAGTAAGAATTTGATTGACTGTTTTGGAGCAGAAAAAGATGGGGGTATTTATAGACTTTCGGTTGGAGACTGTTTCCTATACTTTATTGATATATAGTTTCATACAATTATAGTTTAACCTTTCCCATTCCCCCCCTCTCACCTTTGGTTGTGAAGTTAAAGTTTGTGTTATCCATAAGTTCCTTAAGCTGTGAAAGGGAACAATAGAACAAACACAAACTACAATACGCCAGAGCAATTTGAAAGTTGTTGTTTAACAATATGTAGAAAAGGACAGTGAAGTTATATGCACAACTAAATTGGGCGGTTATCCAAACTATACACAAGTATCGACTTGTACTTTGTGTATTCTTGCTAAAGCCATGCATATACGTATATAGACATACACACATATAATTGTACGCATATATGTATAGAATGTTATGTGCAAATTCTTAAACGGTTAAATTGCAAGAGAGAGAAGGAAACAAAAAAGAAAAGAAAAAAAAAAACGCAATCATTCCGAATTGTGCTTCTTCCATTTTTATCTCTCGGGAATCTGGACATTTTTTTTATCGCAAGTATATACAAGGGAAATGAACACCTTCAATCCGGGAAAGAAATGGCTAAACTGAATTGAAAGTTAGAGATCATCTGTACGTGAATAAAATGGCTATCCCGGGTTCACAAAACCATGAACCCCTGACGCAGATACTTTTGCCATGTATCAACTAAGCAAAACTTTGAAAGTCTTCAATTGAACGGATATCAACGCATCGACTATCAGGAGCAATCACTGGCAACTCTTACTCTCTGACACCCCAGACAATCTACAGAGATATCCCTTCTTCCATTATTGTTTTCCATCTCGCGAGAGAGTAAACATTAACCCTCAGTGCTTTTATAATATCGCGTGCGCTTGTAACAAGACTCTCCGTCAACTGTACTTTATGCGCCTTTGATAGATCCCCCCCATAAGGGGAGTGTCCAATCTGTGAAAGTCACCCCATTGTTATACCTTTCTGAAAGACATGGCTCGTAACCATGGAATACACTAAAATTGCTCTTTTCCCTATCTACAAGGGGACCATAACGAGACCTTGACTTTGCTGTAACTCTCCAGTCGAGTTGAGCACCAGAAGTAGACAGAAGTCCGAGAACTTCTTCACAACAAGAAACTTGCAGTTTTTAGTTAAAGAAAAATTGTTGCATAATCTTTGTGATCCCCGCCTCGCAGCAATTCAAACTGTGGAGTATTTGATCAGACACAAATTCAAACTTTCGCAAGCAATGGGGACATATATACTCCGACTCTTAACTGCTGTTCGTATGAGACCGAAATAGCCATTTGCAGTTCTAAATTTACAGAAACAAAATTTAGAGGGGGGGGGGGGGGGAAAAAAAAAAAAAAAAAAAAAAAGTATTTTCCAATGATGATGAAAATTATACGCGTCAGAAT